TTTATTTTTTTTATTTTATTATTTTTTTAAAAAAACCTTTCCACTGGGTGCCTGCAAAAAAGGGAGCCCCAGAGTATCAGTGGCTCTTCAACAAGGTCTCCATGTTTAAATGCAGCAGACAAGCAACTGGCTGTTTAATTAAAAGCAGGGGGCAGTTATTCAAGTGCACAGTAAATTGGAACAAATGCAAAGTAAAACCCTAGGAGTTTATTTTTAAATTATTATTATTATTATTTAAAAAAACCTTTCCACTGGGTGCCTGGAAGAAAAAGGGAGCCCCAGAGTCCATCAGTGGCTCTTCAAAATGGTCGCCATATTTAAATGCAACTGGCTGTTTAATTAAAAGCAGGGTGCAGTTATTCAAGTGCACAGTAAATTGGAACAAATGCAAAATAAAACTCTAGGAATTTATTTTATTTTTTAAAAAACCTTTTCCACTGGGTGCCTGGAAGAAAAAGGGAGCCCCAGAGTCCTTCAGTGGCTCTTCAAAATGGTCGCCATATTTAAATGCAACTGGCTGTTTAATTAAAAGCAGGTGCAGTTATTCAAATGCACAGTAAATTGGAACAAACGCAAAGTAAAACCCTAAGAGTTTATTTTATTTTAAAAAACCTTTCCACTGGGTGCCTGGAAGAAAAAGGGAGCCCCAGAGTCCATCAGTGGCTCTTCAACAAGGTCTCCATGTTTAAATGCAGGGACATGCAACTTGCTGTTTAATTAAAAGCAGAGTGCAATTATTCAAGTGGGACTTAATTCTTAATTTTAACACAAATGGCTATACACACTTAATCCCCCCAGGTATGAACGTTTATTTAGTGAGTGTTCACAAAAACGAACTAATTCAGAAAGGCTACTCACTGTTAGACATGCAAAACCTCGACCAACAAACAGGCCTCTGCATCCACGTGGCTAGGAGAGGAGAAGCCGGAAGTGGGTTGTGGGTGTTTTTTTTTTGTGCAGGTCACATGGCGGAAGCAGATTGGGTGATTTTTGCAAGATCTCTTTTGCTTTTGCTTTCCTGGAGCTGCCTGGAAGACCTGCTGCTTGCTGGGCTTGAGGACTAGAGAGCTAGAATTTTACCCTCCTGTTTGTAAAGCCTTGGGTAGCCCAAAGCAAGCATCGCAGGCCAACTGTGGTTTAGCTCAGAAGTCTCCAAAACTTAGCAACTTTTAAGACTTGTGGACTTCAACTCCCAGAATTCCTCATGCTGGCTGAGGAATTCTGGGAGTTGAAGTCCACCAGTCTTAAAAGTTGCCAGGTTTGGAGAGCCCTGGTTTAGATTGGTGGTGCTGTATGTGCTCACCTAATTGTAGTTCAGTCATGGTTTATAAGCCCCAGTTCAGCACGAAGTGTGAAATGAGAGTCAAGTGTTAATACCACTTTACAAGGCCTTGGTAAGGCCACACTTGGAATAGTTTTGGTCACCATGATGTCAAAAAGATATTGAAACTCTAGCAAGAGTGCAGAGAAGAGCAACAAAGATGATTAGGGGACTGGAAGCTAAAACATATAAGGAACAGTTGCAGGAATTGAGTATGTCCAGTTTAATGAAGAGAAGGACGAGAGGTGATACGATAACCACGTTCCAGTATCCCAGGGGCTGCCCCAAAGAAGAGGATGTCAAGCTATTCTCCAAAGCATCTGAAGGCAGGACAAGAAGCAATGGATGGAAACTAACCCCCTGCTCAGGCAGGAAACCCTACACCATTTTGGACAAATGGCTGTCCAGTCTCTTCTTAAAAACCTCCAATGTTGGAGCATTCACCACTTCTGGAGGCAGGTTGTTCCACTGGTTAATTGTTCTGACTGTCAGGAAGTTTCTCCTTAGTTCTAGGTTGCTTCTCTCCTTGATTAGTTTCCACCCGCTGCTTCTTGCCCTGCCTTCAGGCGCTTTGGAGAATAGCTTGACTCCGTTTTTAACGGTTCATCAGAAACAGAGTCCTTTGAATCTTTTGCACCTACAAGAAGTGAGCTGACTTGACACAATTCCTACCCAGCCCTAATTTCATTATCTCAAAGCTGCTTACAATAATCTCCCTCATCACAGGGAAGCCTGATTTGTTCGTGCTAATTGTTAATAATAACTATTGGTTTACCACAACGCACTGTGAAAAATGATCGGTGCCGAAGCATACACACACAATCCTGAAGTTTTTGTTTTTTTTTCTTCCAGCCGCAAAGTGGAAGAGTGTCTTCTTGGGTCTTGCAAAAGGGCTGATGTTGGGGTGTTGTGTGTGTGTGTGTGTTTGTGTGTGTTTTGGTTTTTCTGGCCAGGTGGTGCTTGCACCCTCTGTGATAAGACCAGCGTGACAACATTCCTCTCTCTAACATGCCTGAGCTTTTATTTTTTTTCAAATGTTTTTATTACATGCTTGGCTGAAAAAACAGGGAGCCATTTCAATGCAGGAGGGAGGGAGGGAGGGAGGGAGGGAGAGAGAGAGATGATAGATAGATAAAGAGAGAGAGACAGAGAGAGAGATACAGTAGATAGATAGATAGATGATCGAGACAGAGATAAAGACAGAGATAGATAGATAGAGCTAGATAGAGAGATATAGAGAGATAGATAGAGATAGATAAAGATAGAGAGATAGAGATAGAGAGACAGATAGATAGAGATAGAGAGAGATAAAGATAGAGAGATAGAGATATACATAGAGAGAGAGATACATAGAAAGAGATAGAGATAGAGAGATAGAGATAGATAGATAGATAAGAGAGACAGATAGATATATATAGAGATAGAGAGACAGACAGACAGACAGACAGATAGATAGACAGATAGATAGAAGAGAGAGAGAGAGATTGAGAGAGAGAGAGAGAGACAAAGACAGACAGACAGGACAGATAGCTAGCTAGCTAGCTAGCTAGCTAGCTAGATAGACAGAGAAAGAGAGATAGAGATAGAGATAGAGAGATAGATAGATGATAGAGATAGATAGATACATACATAGATCATAGATGATAGATATAGAGACAGAGATATAGAGATAGAGATATAGATAGACAGATATATATATAGAGAGAGAGATAGAGAGATTGATAGATAGAGATAGAGATAGATAGATAGATAGATAGATAGATAGATAGAGAGAGAGAGAGAGAGAGAGAGAGAGAGAGAGAGAGAGAGAGAGAGGACTGATTGGTTGATTTTCAGCAATGGGATCAATTTCTCTCCTGTGCTTTCCTACCATGCTTTCCAATGTTCAGTTGTTAAAATTGCTCTCCCCCCCACCCCTCCATCAGCAGGAGGAGGAGGAGAAGCAAGACAGGTTGGAAACTGTGAAATAATTAAAATCAATTACTCCCCTAGCCCCAGGCCACTGTCTCGTTCTCTTTTCCAGCAGGAGCCAAAAATAGGAAGCTGCCTTTTAAGCAGTTGCGCTGTCTGATCTGTGTGTGTATGTGTTTGTGTGACACAGGACTACTTACCATGCCATCAAGAGTGTCAAAAGGGCACCTGCCCTTTGCCGAAGGACCCACGTTGCTCTAGTCTAGTCCTTCCGGGAGACCCTCGTGTGAACACAACGCTAAGGATCTGCTTCTCCTTTAGTGCCGCTTATCTTGCAGAAAGTGAGACGTTTGACGTCGCAAAGGATGCGGGGAAAAAGGGACGCCGCCATTTTTCACACGACCGTTGCCGCCTCCCCGCGGTCACGTGATTAAAATTTGGACGCTTGGCAGCTGACTCACATTTACGACAGTTGCAGTGTCCTGGGAGGGGGGGGGTTACCTGATCCCCTTTTGCCACCTTCTGACGAGCGAAGTCAACGGGAAAAATCAGATTCGCTTTTCAACCGTGTCATAAACTTTATCCCTGCCGTGATTTACTTAACAAGGGGTGGCAAGCGAGGTTGTGAAAAGGGGACAAAAAAAAACCACTCAGCGACTGTCTTGTTGAGCAACAGAAATTTTGGGGGTCAGTTGTGGCGGTGAAGTCGGACACTTAGCTGTAAACCCCTCAGCTTTGCACCCAGGTGAAGCTCCTAAGACAGTCCCACCTTGCAGACTCCAAAGATGCTCAGCCTGGTGGCCCCAGGTAGCTCGGCGGCCTGTGAGTCAGGTGAGGTGAGGTAGCTGCCAAGCTGGTGTCTAGATGTCGGAATGAGCTGGACCAGAGCCAAACTCAGGATGAATCCTGACAGTGGGAAGAACCTGTGGGTAAGCAGTTTTTATGTCCGGGAATTAAATTTACAAGTCTTCCCCCCCTCCAACGCTGTTGGCTGATCTTTGAAATAGCAGATGTGTAGCTTAGAGGGAAGGATGGGGGAGAATTGTGCGAGATTTCTGAAGCAGAATCAAGAGGAGCTAAAATGGAATCTGATACGTAGAGTAGAGTAGAGTAGAGTAGAGTAGAGTAGAGTAGAATAGAATAGAATAATAGAATAGAATAATAATAGAATAGAGTAGAATACAATACAATACAATACAATACAATACAAGAATAGAATAGAATAGAATAGAATAGAATAGAATAGAATAGAATAGAAATAGAAATGGAAGAATAGAATAGAAAATATACAGGAATAGAATAGAATAGAATAGAATAGAATAGAATGATTACAGGAGAGAATGGAATGGAATGGAATGGAATGGAATGGAATGGAATAGAATAGAATAGAATAGGAATAGAATAGAATAGGAATAGAATAGAATAATAGAATAGAATAGAATAGAATAGAATAGAATAGAATAGAATAGAATAGAATAGAGTAGAGTAGAGTAGAGTAGAATAGAATAGAAATAGGAATGGAGAATAGAATAGAATAGAAAATATACAGGAATAGAATAGAATAGAATAGAATAGAATAGAATAGAATAGAATAGAATAGAATAGAATAGAATAGAATAGAATAGAATAGAATAGAATAGAATAGAATAATAGAGTAGAGTAGAGTAGAGTGGAGTGGAATAGGATAGGATAGGATAGAATAGAATAGAATAGAATAGAATAGAATAGAATAGAATAGAATAGAATAGAATAGAATAGAATAGAATAATAGAATCCATTCTGTAGGACAGTGGCTGGTTGATGTTCTCCTCCCATTAACTAGTTCTCTCTCATCTTTCAGCTCTGCAAATGTCGGTCTTCTCCAGTCCTCATTTCATGTCTGATTATATATTGACCAGACACTGATGCGGTGATCCTTGGAGCCAGCTGCCATTAGTCTCTCACTGGGCTGGTTGTGATCTGAGAAGGCTACACAATAGACTGTGGACGTGTGGTAGTCTAAGACCGCTAACGGCTTTAGCTTCTTCCAGCCAAAGAGACGGATGCGGTGATCCCAGCCGGCTGTTGCCAAGATCTTCTTGTCTTGACGTAGAGTCACCTCGGAGATCCCAGGGTTGGTGAGCTGGTATGTTTGTTGAAGCTACGGAAAACATCAGATGTGGAAAGATGAGCGTGGCCAAAGCTTATTTGTGCAGTCAAAGGAAAAAAACACAAAAGAAACACTCATATAAAATTGACCTCATTTCTTCCCAAAGAATGGAAGCATGCTGAGGAGGAGGAGGAGGAGGAGGAGGAGGAGGAGGAGGAGGAGGAGATGATTTCAAATGGTTAAACCTAGTCCATCCTAATTGGCTACTGTGGAAAAAGGGGTAGCTTTATCCTTCTGGCAGTCAAATTTTCATTTTTTGTTTTCATATTTCCACAAAGTTCAACATGGCCACCAATAGAATAATGTCTGGTCTTTCTCAGTAGCCTGTTTCGGCTGCCATTTGCTTGGCACGCGGCCCCAAATGTGTTATTAGGAAGCGTGACGACATACAGACCTTGTCAAAATTAGCAGATTCTGAATTTTCAATTGCACGGGACGCAAAACACAAACGGCGTTCCCCTTGGAGAGATTTTTTTTTTTTTTTTTTTTAGAGCTGGGAACCAACCCAGAACCCAGAAGGATCATAAATAATAACTTCCCTCCTATCGCCCAGTCCACAATTCTTTTTTTTGTTGTTATTCTTTTATGCTAGATCTAACAATTAAAAAAAAAAATATTCCTCTTCTCCGGAGTTCTTGCTAGAATCGAAGGAGTTGTCCAACGTGTTTCCCCAAATTATTTGCGAAGCTGCACAACACTAGTAAATAAGTTGCTACCTGGAGGAGCAGCGTGCTTACTAAAAAAAAGTGTGGATTTTCTTCCGTTTCAATCTCCGGCTTGTTCCCAAACCAGAAAGGTAGCAGCCGTTTACTGTATACAGTTCAAATATCATTTTTTTTCTCCACCTCAAGCACAAAGTCCAGAAAACGGTTTCCAAGTAGAAAGAAGGGTATTTCTATTCTTGTCTTTTATCAAAAGCCAATTTAGCCATCTCCGCTAACTCCCATCAACTTTTGTAGCCATAGATTGATGGAGGATTTATTTTTTTTTCCCAACTATTTTTTATTTTATTTTTATTCACTTGCAATGTAAAATACGAAAATGCAAAAGCAAATAGTAGGGAGCAAGGGGGAGAGAAAGGGAAAAAGAGAAGGGTGGAAAAGGGTGGGGGGAAGAGAAAAAAAGGCATTGATTTCTGACTCCCTCCGTTGCAGTGAAATCAGGCATTAGCATTGAACCTCAATTTTTTACATTTCTATATCAATAAATCAAAGCATCATTTTTTTCCCCACCTCGAGCGCGAAGTTCAGAAACGGTTTCCAAGTAGGAACAAAGGTCCTTATGGTTTTTTCTTTTATCAAAACAGTCAATGAAATGTTAAGGGCAGTTCCCATCTCCAAACCAGCATCTCTCAGAGATCATAACCAGCCTGTGATTCATTAGCTCAGCATCTGCCAACGGCCCCTCCAATGCCTAAATATTTTTTTTCCCTGTCTATCGAACCGCTAGTGCCCCAAAATGAAGAAATAGCTATTTAGGAAGGGCAAAGAGACTGACCTCCAGGTTCTCCAGCCCGGTGGGGCTCCAGACGCAAAGTTTCTTCTCTGAGGAACCGGACACTCCCTTGGCCTTCTCCGAATCGAAGTCAAGGCTCATGACCGGCTCCTGATGACAGGTGATCCGACTCAAGATTCGGCCCATCGACAAATCCCACAGAACCACCGACCCGTCCTCGTAGCCGGCCAGAAGGCGAGGATGAGAGCCAGCGCTGGGCTGAGAGCATATAGACTGTTTGCTTAGTGACCGTTGGAAGTTACAATGTGCCCACAGTGAAAAAATGACAATAAAGATTATCTATCTATCTATCTATCTATCTATCTATCTATCTATCTATCTATCTATCTATCTATCTATCTATCTATCTATCTATCTATCTATCTATCTATCTAATCTCTATCAACTATATCTATCTAATCTCTATCATCTCTATCTATCTATTAACTATCTCTCTAATCTCTATCTATCTACTGTATCTATCTATCTATCTAATCTATCAACTATATCTATCTAACCTATATCTATCATCTCTATCTAATCTATCAACTATATCTAATCTCTATCAACTATATCTATCTAATCTCTATCTAATCTATCTATCAACTATCTTTCTAATATCTATCTATCTATCTATCTATCTATCTAATATATCAACTAAATCTATCAACTATATCTAACCTATATCTATCATCTCTATCTAATCTATCTATCAACTATATCTATCTAATCTATATCATCTATCTAATCTCTCTATTAACTATATCTCTATCTATCTCTATATCTATCAACTATCTCTCTAATCTCTATCTAATCTCTCTATATATCTATCTAATCTATCAACTTTTCTCTCTCAACTATCTCTCTCTCTAATATCTATCTATCTATCTATCTATCTATCTATCTATCTATCTATCTATCTATCTATCTATCTATCTATCTATCTATCTATCTATCTATCTATCTATCTCATGTGATTCCCTTTTGCAACCTTCTGACAAGCAAAGTCAATGGGGAAGACAGCCTCACTTAACAACTGTGTTTCTAATTTAACAACTGCAGTGATTTTCTTAACAACTGGACAAGAAAGGTTGTAGTAAAAGGGGGCAAAATTCACTTAACAACTGTCTTGCTTAGTGATGGAAATTTCGGGCTCAGTTGTAGTCTTAAGTCGAGAACAACCCATATCTGTGGCTATTTTTCTGTATCCATGCTATCTTTTCCCTCCACTATTTCACCACCCTATAACTCAGGGGTCTTCAAGCTTGGCCCTTTGATGGCTTGTGGACTTCAACTCCCAGAATTCCTCAGCCAGGCAGAGGAATTCTGGGAGTTGAAGTCCACAAGTCACAAAAGGGCCAAGTTTGAAGACCCCTGCTATAACTGGACTGCACTGATTTTGGTACCAGCCTTGCTACAGAACATGCTGATGAGTGTGCGATTGTTCAGTTGTTCCATTTTTATATTGATTTATGGCTTCTGTCAATTTGTTTGGGCTCCAGGCAGGCTGACTGATTTTTCCTGCTTTACAGGAAGATGTTTTATTGTCTCGATACCCATCAACTCCGAGGCAAAATCACACACTTTCCCGGCCAACTGGGCGAGGCTGAATTTGCATGTGCGCACACACACACACACACACACACACACACACACACACAGAGTCTTCCCTTCCTTTTCCCACCAGGAGAAAGTTGTTTCGCAAGCAGGATTGTTCTTAAGAAAATGCATGTAAGAACTGGAGAGCGAACGACGTGCTTTATATACAGGTAGTCCTTGACTTACGACAATGTCCGTTGTTAAGTGAGTTTGCCCCCCCCCTCCTTACGACCTTCCTTGCCTCGGTTGTTAAGGGAATCCCTGCAGTTGTTAAGTTAGATTGTGAAGTGAACCTGGCTTGACTTTGCTTGTTGGAAGGTGGCAAAAGATCACATGAGTCCCCCAGGGATGCTGTGACCGTCTTTAATACACGCCAAGTGCCCGAATTTTGATCACGTGATCCCGGGGATGTTGTGACGGTCATGAAGTGTGAGAACCTGTTTTAAGTCCCTTTTTTCCAGAGCTGTTATAACTTCAAACCCATCGCTAAACGAACGTTGCAAATCAACCTATATTGTTAAGAGTTTGCGAACCCATGTTAAAAACCAAGAAAATATTTTTTGTAAGATGGCGAGAAATAGAATACATTCGAATAGATAAGACGTGTATCCTGAATATTAGATTTTGTGATGAATTGGGACAAAGGGAACTGTGGCTATTTAAAACTTGGAAATTATAAACATTAATTGTTAAATTTAAATATTAATGGGAAACTAAACATCGGGAAAAACCAATCAGGACATTGATAGTCTATAAAGACTGGATGTTAAAATAACTAGGATATGTATAAACTAAAAATGATTGATAAATGTAAGAAAGTTAGTTTTATTTAATGGACATAATAAGAATTGTATTAGTTTAAACGTGAGACAGTAAACACTAAGGGGGAAAGAGAGGAAATATTTAACGTAATAGTTTGAGACTTGTACTAAAGATATTTGTATGTTATTGAATTATCGATTAACTCAGCCGCCACGTTGCTTTTTAAGTATTTAAATGTAAAACTAGAAAATCAATAAAACTTTAAAAAAACAACAACCAATAAAATATTTTTTTAAAAAAAAAGAGTTTGTGAACCCCTGGGCTCGCTTTAGGACCAGACTCTAATTTCAAGCTCAATTACAGTCATAAGTTGAGGACTTCCTGTATCGTTAAGCATTTGTGAACCTATGGGTTTGCTTTATAACCAGAGCATTGGCTTTACAGTATGACCGCCACGTTTGCTTAACACACCCCCCCTCCAAAATGTCACAAAATCAGGCCGGTCACATGACCACCCAATTAACAACCGGCAGGATATGACTGTCATTCTGAGCTCAATTACAGTCGTAAGTCGAGGACTTCCCGGATTTGCAAAACACGGCTCCCGCAGTTTGCCAAAGGAGATTCCCGTTTCCCTCTCCTGCCTTTAAGAACGTAATTAGTTGATTGCTTTTGACAATTCCGGGAGAAATATTCTGACAGGAAAGAATGATTCATGAGCTCTGTCCTTCCAGTTGGTGTGCAGAGGAAGAGTTTTCTAATTACGGTAGCTTCTCTTGGCTTACCTGCCAGATCCTCAGAGACATGGGCAGGCCCAGCTTGGCATCGGCCTCTGCCTTCAAGGTACAGATGGGTGTCTTGGATGGCAGCTCCAGAACGTGAACCTGACAGATAGATAGATAGATAGATAGATAGATAGATAGATAGATAGATGATAGATAGATAGATAGATAGATAGATAGATAGATAGATAGATAGATAGATAGATAGATAGATAGATAGATAGATAGATAGATAGATAGATAGATGATGGGTGGGTGGGTGGGTGGGTGGGTGGGTGGATGGACGGACAGATAGGTGGGTGGATGGGTAGGTAGGTAGATAGATAGATAGATAGATGTAGGTAGGTAGATATAGACAGATAGATATAGAGAGATAGAGATAGATAGACAGACAGAGATAGATAGAGGTAGGTAGGTAGATATAGACAGAGATATATAGAATAGATAGAGATAGATAGAGTTAGAGAGAGACAGACAGACAGACATAGAGATAGAGAGATAGATAGAGAGAGATAGAGATAGAGATAGAGAGAGAGAGATAGATAGATAGATAGATGGATGGATGGATGGATGGATGGATGGATGGATGGATGGATGGATGGATGGATGGACGGATGGATGGACGGACAGATAGGTGGGTGGGTGGGTGGGTAGGTAGGTAGGTAGGTAGGTAGGTAGATAGTAGGTAGGTAGATATAGACAGATAGATATAGAGAGATAGAGATAGATAGATAGATAGATAGACAGACAGAGATAGATAGATAGAGGTAGGTAGGTAGGTAGGTAGATATAGACAGAGATATATAGAATAGATAGAGATAGATAGAGATAGAGAGACAGACAGACATAGATAGAGATAGAGAGATAGAGATAGACAGAGATAGATAGATAGATAGATAGATAGATAGATGGATGGATGGATGGATGGATGGATGGATGGATGGATGGATGGATGGATGGATGGACGGACAGATAGGTGGGTGGATGGGTAGGTAGGTAGGTAGGTAGATAGATGTAGGTAGGTAGATATAGACAGATATATATAGAGAGATAGATAGACAGACAGACAGATAGATAGATAGAGGTAGGTAGGTAGGTAGGCAGATATAGACAGATAGATAAGATATATAGATAGAGATAGAGAGAGAGATAGAGATAGATAGACAGACAGACAGACATGATAGAGATAGATAGATAGATAGATAGATAGATAGAGAGAGAGAGAGAGAGAGAGAGAGAGAGAGAGAGAGAGAGAGAACCTTTATTGTCATTTTTTACTCTGGGTACACTGGCACACATTAAAAATGAAATTTAGTTGCTTGCTCTCAAAGTATACACATACATAACACACATTTAAACATACTATGTACAACATATGTATTGTATAGACCTACACCCTTACATATGAGCAACATATAAATATTTGTCACCGTCCATCTTGAATACATAACGGAAGGAGGAAGCTTTAGCGTTCACAAGGTTAATACCGTATGGAACAAAACTGTGACTGAATCTGGATGTTCTGCTTCGGATACCACGGAGCCCCCTCCTCCCAGAAGGTAACAAGGAAAAACAGGTCGTGGAGAGGGTGTGTAGCATCCCAGACAATCTTGTGGAAAGAAGTCATATTGGTCCCCAACACAACCAACACAATGGAAAATCTTGTCGGGTGATTGACAAGAGGCTGGGGCAAACAACCCTTTCATTTGAAAGATTAGAGAAAAGAAGGACTAGGGGGGACATGATAGCCGTATTCCAGCATTTGAGGGGCTGCCACAAAGAAGAGGGGGGGTCACCTCATTTTCCGAAGCACCAGAAAACAAGACATGAAACAATGGGTGGAAACTAATCAAGGAGACAAGCAACTTGGAGTTAAGGAGAAACTTCCTAACAGTGAGAACAATTAACCGGTGGAACAGCTGGCCTCCAGAAATTGTGGGGGCTCCATCCCTGGAGGTTTTTTAAGAAGGTTCAAGTTTGTTCCAAAGAATAATAGCTTGTGGAGGTCCTTGGTACGCTCTAAAACCTGGTTGTTTTCTTGAAGACGCTTCATTACCCAACTAGGTAACATCATCAGTTGGGTAATGAAACATTGGCAAGAAAAGTAACCAAGCTCAAAGAACACCAAGGATCCCTCAGTCCTCCTCCTTCTCCTCCTCCTCTTCCTCCCCCCTGTAAACCCTCCTTTATTCTAGCACTGATGATGTTACCTAGTTTGGTAATGAAATGTCTACAAGAAAACAGCTGAAGCTCAGAGAGCACCAAGGATCCCACAGTCCTTCTCCTCCTCCTCCTCCTCCTCCTCCTTCTAGCATTGATGATGCTACCTAACTGGGTTTTCTGTACCTGCAGAGAATGTGAGCTACATTTTAATGAATTCAGTCAAACTTTGATTAAATCAGATTGGGGTTCTGCCCAAGATTTCGCAGAGTACCTTCCAGCAATCACTCAAAAGCTAGCTCGGAATAAAACTATGGTTCATCTTTTGACAATTAAGGCATAGGACTCCATGCGTTCACGCAACCCACTTGCTAACCCCAACAGGAGGAGCCCCCACCAGCAAGGGGCTTGATCAATTTAATTTATTTCAATATTTCTTTCAATACTTCCCCCCCCCCATTGTTTTTCCTCTTTGGCCTCCTTCCCAGCTTTATGCACTTAAACGGGGGGGGAAAAACACTCGTTGAAATGCAAAATAAAAAGAAATTGCTCCTTGAAATGCAATTTTTGAGGCTGCACACCGAGTAGCTAGAGGGTGGCCTTGCCAACCCAGCGTGTTGCAGTCAACACACCACTTAGAAATTAACCTTCCAAACTAACCCTGCGCCTTTGTGCCGAAGCCCCTGCTCTCCCCCAGGGAGAACACAAAAACGAGACCAAGCTGTTTCAAGAATACAAAAAAAAGCCAGTTGGAAGAGTTTGTGGATTGTATTTCAGTTCCTGCAGTGTGTGTGTGTGTGTGTGTACGGGGAGGGGGGGGGAGAGAGAGAGAGGACGCTCCACATCTATAATTTACCGCTGACACTTTTTTCAACGCGAAGGACAGCAAGCTGAGCTGAAGCAGGGAAAAGACACAAACGGATCTCAGACGGAATCAAATTGGTCCTGTTCTTGCTTGGTTCCGCTTCTGGAACCACCGAGAGAGAGTCAGCGGAGATCAGGGATGTGCAGAAATTCAACAGTGCTGGAGGCCTTTAGAGGAGTTGCCCCAACTGTGAAATGGGCTGTCTGATTCTACTGTACGTTTTCTTGAAGAGGAGAATAGGGGAAGAAGCTGCCTTATTTAGTTTTTACTATCCATTCAGATCTCTCTCTCTCTCTTTTCCTTTCCCTTTTCCTTCCTTCCTTCCTTCCCACTTTTCCTTTCCTTTCCTTTTTCCTTCTCTTGGCTGAGATTGGCCTCAAACATGGTCCTTGTCTTCTCTTGGACTTCTCTTGGCTGAGATTGGCCTCAAATATGGTCCTAGTCTTCTCTTGGATTTCTCTTGGCTAAGATTGGCCTCAGACATGGTCCTGGTCTTCTCTTGGACTTCTCTTAGCTGAGATTGGCCTCAAGCATGGTCCTTGACTTCTCTTGGACTTCTCTTGGCTGAGATTGACCACAAACATGGTCCTTGTCTTCTCCTGAGCTTGTCTTGGCTGAGATTAGCCTCAAATATGGTCCTGGTCTTCTCTTGACTGAGATTGGTCTCAGACATGGTCCTTGACTTCTCTTGAACTTCACTTGGCTGAGATTGGCCTCAAATATGGTCCTTGACTTTTCTTGGACTTCTCTTGCCTGAGATTGGCCTCAAACATGGTCCTTGACATCTCTTGGACTTCTCTTGCCTGAGATTGGCCTCAAACATGGTCCTTGACATCTCTTGGACTTCTCTTGACTGAGATTGACCACAAACATGGTCCTTGTCTTCTCCTGAACTTCTCTTGGCTGAGATTAGCCTCAAACATGGTCCTGGTCTTCTCTTGGACTTCTCTTGGCTGAGATTAGCCTCAGATATGGTCCTGGTCTTCTGTTGGACTTTTCTTGACTGAGATTGGCCTCAAACATGGTCCTGGTCTTCTCTTGGACTTCTCTTGGCTGCGATTAACCTCAAACATGGTCCTGGTCTTCTCTTGGACTTCTCTTGGCTGAGATTGGCCTCAAACATAGTCCCAGTCTGACACACCCTAACCACACCACACATTAGTTTTGCTTGTTCAAAGAGTGGACAAGTTATGGCACGAGCGAGAACCTTCACCCATGTAGCCGTCGGGCTTTGGAAAAGTAATATCCTACTTAGCATGTAATTTAAAACCAGGAGGAGAAGGTTTTCACAGGGAAAAAAAATGTTTTTACTTTTGCCTGGGGTGAATAAGGTTCTTCTGTGGCTACAGGTCACCCCAAGAATATGCATTCTTTTTGTTGTTGTTGTTACATTTCTAAGACTTTTTAAACAGGTTTCTGGCAAATTGGCAAGAGAAATGCGCGTAGCTCATAACTGGCGGTTTTAGCGCCATCAGGAACAAATAAATGCCTGTTTAGATCGTATTATTTATAGACAGAATCTGCTTCAAGGGGGGAAAAAAATTCTATTTTGGGTAGTGGCCAAGTGTGAACACATATTAAGTCTTTGCGTTAATCATAAGCCTCAAAGTGCTTTGGCTGTGTCTTTAAGGAGGTTTCCAGGTTTTACGGATTTTTATGGGGCTTCTTGTTGTTCCAAATTTTTGATTACTTTATCACTTAAACATGAGCCAGCAGTGAGCAGCAGCAGCAGTCAAGAAAGCCAACACAATCCTTGGTAGTATAAACAGAGGCATAGAATCAAAACAACGGGAAGAATTAGTACCGCTTTATAACGCCTTAGTAAGGCCACACTTGGAATACTGCATCCAGTTTTGGTCACCGCGATGTAAAAAAGATGTTGAGACTCTAGAAAGAGTGCAGAGAAGAGCAACAAAGATGATTAGGGGACTGGAGGCTAAAGCATATAAGGAATGGCTGCTGGAATTGGGTATGTCTAGTCTAATGAAGAGAAGGATGAGGGGGGACATGACAGCAGTCTTCCAATATCTCAGGGGCTGTCCCAAAGAAGAGGGAGTCAAGCTATTCTCCAAAGTGCCTGAAGGCAGGACAAGAAACAACGGATGGAAACTAATCAAGGAGAGAAGCAACCTAGAACTGAGGAGAAACTTCCTGACAATGAGGACAATTAACCAATGGAACAACTTCCCTCCAGAAGTTGTTGATGCTTCATCAGACTCTCCAAAGCAGCTCCACCCTTTCTTAGTATGTGACCAATTCATCACATAAGAACAGAGAAGGAAATTCTACAGTACATCAAGTGCTAAGTGCATCAAAGTGATAAAGCGTGTTTTGGGCTCAGAACCCCATCCCAGATGAGATCAACCTAACTATGAATATGCAGATGGGAAACCCTGGTTAAAACTGGGCTCAGGAAACCCCACCACCACCCTCAAAGAAGATCCAATTGATGCGATGGATTCTGATCTCCCCTCTCCCGTAAGTTCTTTGATCCAGCAACATTTGGCACGGTCCAATTTATGAAACCCAAGCAACATTCCAGATGCCTTCAAAACCATTCCCACGACTCCTTGCCAGGGGCCAAGCTCAAAGGAACATCTGGGGAGTATTTGGCCACCACGCAAGGCAGAGAAGATACATCTTAGAGGAATGACTCACCTCGTCTAACCCTTTCCATGGGGTGGCCAGGAGGGACCGTTTCTCCGTCACCTCAGAGAGGGAACATTTGCAGAACCCAACGTTGTCGGTGAAAAGAGTTTCAGTGACCACGTTCCTTCCTTCAGATAAGTCCCACAGGCAGATGTTCTGGTCACGGCCCTGACTTTGGCAATCAAAATTATTACTTAAACATAAGCAAACATAAACCAGGTACTTATGATCCTATGTGGTGGACATGTGTTAAAGCAAGGAGGTATTGGACAAAAATTAACTTAACAACGGTTCATTTGGGGCCCGTTCAACGTTACAAAGGCACTGGAAGAAGTGACTTATGACCGTTTTTCACTGTTACGACCACTGCAGTAAACCCATAGTTACATAAACAGAATTCAGACGCTTGGCAACTGACTCATACTTATGACGGTTTGCAGTGTCCCGAGGTCATGTGATCCCCTTTTGCAAAGTCAATGGGGAAGTCAGATTCACTTAACAACTGTGTTACTACTTAACAGCTGCAGTGATTCACTTATCAACTGTGGCAACAAAGTTTGTAAAATGGGCCAAAACTCGCTTAACAACTGTCTTGTTTAGCAACAGAATTTTTGGGCTCAATTGTGGCCGTACGTTAGGAGGACTACTTGTAATCAATGCTACCAAACTTGAATTACGCCTTGTTAATTGCAGGCTCACCTCAGAAGTCCATTTCTTCTGTTGGGTAATGTTTTCACACAATACACCGATTTCCCGCCGTGGCCGTTTAGGCTACTACAGGCTCGCCGTGTCTTCAGATTCCAGATATGGATCAGCCCGTTAGAAGATCTGTTTTAAAACCAAAAAAATAAAAATTAAAAAAGGGAGAATTAGCCATGATTTTTGACATTCCGACTCGGGGTTTAATACAACAGATCTTCAACACAGTTGTCAAAAAAGCTAGAAGCTAAAAAGACGAGATAATTACGTCTCTTATTTAAACGAAACGTCCCTGTAGCTCCTTTGCTGTTTCCGTGAGTTTGTTACAGATTTTAAACCGCTTAGACGGGATCGTTTGTAAAATAAAACGCAGCATGTGGCAATATAAATACCGCATTGTTGTATTTGTAAAAGTAACGGTTTCCCCTGTCCAGTCATGTCCGACTCTACGGCACGGTGCTCACCTCCGTTTCTTGGCCGAGGGAGTCAGCGTTGTCCGAAGACAATTTCTGTGGTCATGTGGCCAGCATGACTATATGCCAACGACGCACGGAAAGCTGTTACCTTCCCGCCGAAGTGGTACCTATTTATCTACTTGTCAGGATAATGATTTAAAGGCTAAACAGCTTATGTAGTGATGTAATGAAACAAAAGGTGGATGATGCAGTAATAGGAATGACTCAGCAGGATCTGTGTCTGTGCCTTTAAGAGTCTGAGTATAAAAGGGAAGGCTTTCTCTCTCGTCCGTTTCCTGCTGTAATTGCTGGACATTGGAGTTTGCTGTTTCACCACGTGTATCTATTTTGTTCCTAGTGTATATTGTAGATAGTGTCATATAAACCACCATTTAATTACAAACCAATGTTTACTGTGTTTACTCCCGGATTATCTCAGCGCAACAAGAGTGTGCATGCTCTGACAAATTTGCCTGCTTTCGAATTGCTAAGTTGACAGGAGCTGGAGCAGGGAACGAGAGCTCACCCCGTTGCATAGAGCTCGGATCTTGAACCCAGGCTCTCAGCTCGCCAACTGAGAAGCTCGGTGTCTTTAACCCTTGAGCCGTGGCGCCACCACGTTGCGTTTGTATTTGCAGACAATTGTGTGCGCTTTCTTTACTCACCCTGAGTAAAGAATGGGAAAATCTGGATCTGCGTTTGAACACTGAAAGCACAACGTATTAATGCCACTGTCTGTTCCTCGTAAAACGTAGACAGGATCTGGCACAGGAACAGCCATCGTGACACAGCCAGTTAGAAGTTCCTGAAAAAGAAAGAAAGAAACGAAGATGGAAAGACAGTCTGGTTCAGCCAGGCTGCTGGACTTCTGGACCACTCAGTAGCCTTGCGATAAATAAAACTTGAAAAAGAAAAATCTGATCGGGCAATAGTTAAAATCCTCCCAACTTAGTTTGCATTCCTTCCAAAATGCACAACACGTTTGCACAAGTTGAAAAGCATACTACAGGCAGTCCTCAAGTTACGACCGTAACTCAGCCTACAATGACCGTTGTAAGTCATTGCAGTTATAAGCCAAAACACTCATGTCATCAAAAGTATTTTTTGTGTGGTATCTTTAAGGAAAAGCATTCATTTCAACGGTCTGCCGAAAACTCTGAAAACCGCCGAAAACTGAAAATAGGCTGGGAACTATCCCAAAAAACATGGTGAACCGTGGTCACATGACTTTGGAATGCCGTGACCCACCCCACCAGTAGTCACGTGACCATTGGGGGGGCACGACTCTTTACGAGAACTATGGAGGGTGCTTTAGGCCCTAGAAAGTACCCGTTCTATGGCTGTCGTAACTTTGAACGGTCAAAAAACAGCAAGCGAAGGTCTAACTCTAGTTGACGTCTGAATCAGGCTGAGAAAGCTGAGTTACTGTCGGATGGGTGAGATCAACCATTAGCCGGAGTTTTTAATTTGAACAGATTGCATCTCTCGACTCCATCCAGATGCTTATTAAGAAACAAATTTTACAAGCTGGTTTATTTGTTCGCATGCAAGGCAGGAAGGCAACTCCTCCTCCGACGCTCTTTGATGTCACCCTTGGGGTTGTTAGCTTTTCGAATGTCACCTGTCAATGCTGATGAATTATCTACAAGATTGATTTGCTTTGGGTTACTTTCAATTCCTGGGGATCTTCGGTGAGGCTCCGTTCTTGCTACAAAATTCTCGAGATGTCTCTAAGCTCCATTCAAGAACAATGCCCAAACTTCTCAAGGTCTTCCCAACGCTGGCATTCCTTCCTTCCTAGGGTGCCGTGACTTAATTCAGAAACATGTCACAAGGAATTATCCAGGAAGCAAATGAGCAATTCTACAAAAAAATATATATATATTTTCCAGGCTAAGCAGAACGATAAACACACCAGAGTCACCCTAAAGGCAATCTGGAAGGATCAGGGGGAATTTTAATCACTCTTGTTCTTCCTTCCACAAAATAATTGACTGAAGTTTTTGCTGATGGAAGGATAAGACTTGTGGTGTATGAATCTGGGGAGGATCCTTTAGCTGGCACGGAACAAGATGTGATGAGTGCATGTTTTTACAAAAGTCTTCATATCTAAGGTGCAGGCTTGGCACAGGAAAAGGGAGTTATCACTGTCCATCAAATCAGTCTGGTTAAATCATCTTAGTTGCTCTTCTCGGCACTTTCTCCAAAGATGTTTAGACTTTGGGAAAAGTGCAAAGAAGAGCAATTAAGATGATTAAAGGCCTGGAGACTCAAACATATGAAGAACGTTTACAAGAATCAGTTATGGCCAGTCTAGAGAAAAGAAGGCCTAGGAGTGACATGATAGCAGTATTCCAATATTTGAGGGGCTGCCACAAAGAAGAGGTGGGGGGGGGGGTGTCAACTTATTTTCCAAAGCAAGGACAAGAAACAATGGATGGAAAGGAGAGAAGCAACCTGGAATTAAGGAGAAACTTCCTAACAGTGAGAACAATTAACCAGTGGAATGGCTTTGCCTTCAGAAGTTGTGGGTGTTCCATCACTGGAGGTTTTTAAGAAGAGACCGGACAGCCACTTGTCTGAAATTGTATAGGGTCTTCAGCCTGAGCAGGGGGTTGGACTAGAAGACCTCAGAGATCCCGTCCAAATCTATTCTGATTGGTTGAAATAAGGGCTTGTTTACTATATGCTTTCACAAATGCAATGAAACTAAGGTGGGCTGCAAGCTGGTCCTTTCACCAATTGTAGATCTCGCCGCCCTCTCAATTTCTGGCAAATAGATGGGGAAGAAATGGAGGTAGGGACAGATTTTATCTTCCTGGGTTCCAAGATCACCTCAGATGGGGACTGCAGCCAAGAAATTAAAAGACGCTTACTCCTGGGGAGGAAAGCTATGGCAAATCTAGACAGCATACTAAAAAGCAGAGACATCTCCCTGCCAACAAAAGTACGTATAGTCAAGGCCATGGTTTTTCCAGTTGCAATGTATGGCTGTGAAAGTTGGACCATAAGAAAGGCTGAGTGCCAAAGAATGGAGGCCTTTGAACTCTGGTGCTGGAGAAGACTCCTGCGAGTCCCCTGGACTGCAAGGCGATCCAACCGGTCAGTCCTGGAGGAGATCAACCCCGACTGCTCTTGAGAAGGCCAGATCCTGAAGTTGAAACTCAAGTCCTTTGGCCACCTAATGAGAAGGAAGGACTCCCTGGAGAAGAGCCTGATGCTGGGAAAGATGGAGGGCAAGAGAAGAAGGGGACGACAGAGAACGAGGTGGCTGGATGGAGTCCCTGAAGCAGGAGGTGTGAGCTTCAAGGGACTCCAGAAGATGGTAGAGGACAGGAAGGCCTGGAGGAACGTTGTCCATGGGGTCGCGATGGGTCGGACACGACTTCGCAACTAACAAACAAAAACAAATTCTCCCTAACTTTCCAAGTGCTTTCAAACCATGCAGATCTAATGCATTCTAGTAGCCAATCAGGAATAAAATTCACTTCTGGAATTTGGAAAGTTTGTAGATCCCAAATCCAAACCTCAGCAGGAAATACAGAAGTCTTTCACCCGGATGCTGATGGTCTCCAACTCAGTGTAGCTTTTTAATTTTTCCAACATCGTTCCAAATGCCAACGCGCTCGTTATTTCAAGCCGGGGTCCCCCCCAGACGTTCGTTTTTCTAATTCATCACATCCTCTCAAAATACGCAGGCGTCAAGAGAGGGTCCACCTTGCGAATAACAACAACAACGACAACAATCGTCCCTACCTCCCAGGAGTTTTACAAACACACTCCCCGATTCCCACAGGAAAAATTCCGGCAGAATTCAGCAACTCTCTCGTTCCCAGTCCTGTCACTTGCGTTTCAGTCTCACATTCGAAACGAAAACAAAATTGCCGGTATAGTATCGTGCACTTTCCCTCTCTCCTGCTTCCTTTGATAAGCAAAAACGTCCAAAGCCCAGACTAAAAATACATTATTTTTTTTTCGATCCGCTTTAAACGCCATTCAAAGACAGAGGGGGCAGGAATAAAACTTTGGGGTCGCGTCTAGCAAACCCACAAGACCAGCAGGTGTGTTTCTATAGTTAGGGATCTGAAATTATTCCACCCATTCAGATGTGCTACCGATCAAATACAGGTAGTCCCTGACTTATGTCCACAATTGAGCCCAAATTTTCTGTTGCTCACCATCAGTGCTAGAAGGGAGTGGGGGCTTGCGGAGAGTAGAAGGAAGGAGGAGGAGGAGGACTATGAAGACGACTGTGGGGTCCTTGATGCTCTATGAGCTTGCTTGTTTCTTTGCAGATGTTTCATGACCCAACTAGGTAACATCAACAGTGTTAGAAGGGAGTGGGGTTTGTGAGTGGAGGAGGAGGAGGAGGAGGAGGAGGAGGAGGAAGACTATGGGTCTTTGGTGCTCTCTGAATTTGGTTGTTTCCTTGCAGATGTTTCATGACCCAACTAGGTAACATCAGCAGTGCTAGAAGGGAGTGGGGTTTGTGAGAGGAGGAGGAGGAGGACTGTGGGGTCTTTGGTGCTCTCTGAATTTGGCTGTTTCCTTGCAGATGTTTCATGACCCAACTAGGTAACAACATCAGTGCCTTACCAACCAACCAAACCCACGAAGCTCAGAGCGCACCAAGAACCCCATACATACACACACAGTACAGACACACAAACACACACACCACACAGCCTGTGATAGGGAGGCAACGATTCATTCTAGCCACTGTTTGTCCAAGCACAATGGGACAGCTCACAGTGTTTGCAGGATTAAACCACAACCAAACGCACATAGCCGAGAAAGAGCTGGACCTACAAGACGTCCCTCCTCCATTCTTGCAACAGAAGGATGTTAAAACTTTTAGTAGCGCTTTTAAGTGACTTTCGTTAACTGCTTCTTTCTTGCTAAACGCAGCCCCCTTCCTCCCCCCCCCTCCACCATTGGCATAACCCCAAAGTCAAGACTGTTTTCCTTGGAGAAAATAATGTCCTATATAAGTAAAAAAATTTCTGCTGCCTGGCGTGTTAACGTCCAGAAAAACCTGGAATCTGAGCTGGCGTCTTGAGGCTCCTTTCCAAACGCTTCCATCTGGGCGTCGTGAACTTTCGCTATAACTATTTTCCACCACGAAAAACCCCATATTCAGCAAAAGGGGGCAAAACTAAGAGTGATGGTAATTATTTTTAGGACGCCGAGCGAAGCATATGGATCTCATTGCCATTTATATAGACGAGTCACCGGGAAAAGAAAAAGAGAGAGAGAGAGAGAGAGAGAGCTATTAATCAATATGAACAACCCATAGAGTAACATAAACATTCATCATTCTAATATTCTCAAGGTGTCAAAAGTGGTGTGTGTGTGTGTGTGTGTGTTTTAACTTTCTTCCCTTTTCCAACCATGGGACACAGTTGCCTTCAGTTCTCAGCTGTGTGTGAGAGACCCTCCCCAGCCCAGGAATAGAAAAATAACTTTTCAAAGGCTGGGCAAAACATAGGACGTATTCAGAGAAAAAAAAAGGGGGTGATGTAAAGGCAGAAAGAATTGAGGGGAAGGGAAAAAGTCTTTAAAGCCTTCGCTGTAAAAGACATTAAAACATTAAAATGAAGCATGAAAAAACAGCTGAAGCCAAAGAGACGACGTTCCTGTGCGGTGCGCCACCAGCTCAACTTTGCAAAAAGGGGAAAAAAAGCACAGGCGGAACAGACAGCTGTCCTATTGCACCAAGTCGTAAATTCCTCCGATAAAAAACAAGCACGCAGCAACTGAAACTGGCCTAAAATCAACACC